CTCTCTCTCTCTCTCTCTCTCTCTCTCTCTCTCTCTCTCTCTCTCTCCCTCTCTCGAGTGTTCTCTATCATTTATTCAATCAGCTGTCATGATTCGGATGCTGCAGTGCATATATACGCCTATATAATGTTACGAGAAAGAGAAAATGAAAAAATGGCCGATTTTTCCTATCACATCCTCATTTTACAATGAAACTCATTCGCAATCGTATGCACATGTACGTGTAAATATAAACACACACACATGTACTCGTGTAAAAGAAAGAAAGCCGTGATTCCGCAACCGGAGTTGCGAGATGTAATTTTCGACCGCTCCGGCGATGGTGTAGCGATTTTTTTATTGCACTTTCCTTTCGTCGTATCTTTGCGCACGTTACGACGAAAGCAGCCTCGCGACAGTGCAACGATCGACGATGATCGCGCCATACGGATATCGATTCTATTGCAAAACGTTAGCACGCAGACAACAACACACCGATACGCAACCCAACGTTCAATCGAGAGATATAAGCACGGCAACGATCGATTATCGCGAAATCGGCACACTTATATCAACGACATTCAAAGCGTCGGCACTGATCGTTATACCCGATCGAGAAACCTGTAAATGCCGATAAATATGTGTGTGTACATGTATACACACACACACACACATATATATAACATCGATAGCTTATAGCGCCGCGCGCGCGCTCGCATGTCGTTAGCCCGATCCGGGCATCCCTTCTCACGTTGCACCCTCATTGCGACGCGTGTGCATCGTGGGAGAAAACGCGGCGCGTCGGGCTAACGATATCGCGCGGCATGCCGAATATATATTGCACAGTGATGCCAAACTAGTATATACTCGATCCATTTCTTTGCGCTAATTACGATTGCACGTCGTCGCAGTCGTGAACAACGCCGTTAACAACGGTGGTTCAATGTTTAAAACGACTATGTATCTGCTGCAGTTAATGTGCATTTTTCGCGCGAGTCTATCGAATTGTCGTTTGCGGAAAAGGCGTCGCTTCGCGCTCTGCCCGTGTAATCGACGACGCTTCGTTCGACGCTCGCGATTGCGAGAAGAGGGAAATGTACAGGTTCTCCTGGATCAGAGTCGCTGGTGACAAAGTCAGTGTCGTGTCGATCAGTCGAATAGAAAAATCTCGGTGACTTGACGAGATTAAACTAAATGTTTTGTTTCGGAAATGACGAACAATCCTACGTCTTCTCGCCGTGTTATTTCAACGAAAGATTCTCCCCGCGCAGAATCCGCTACAAGCGCTACCGAACATCGACAACTGGTCAAACTGGTAGACTAAACACTCGACATGGATACGCGGTCGCGGTCTGTCTTATTTGTGTGACAAGTTCTAGTGACAAGTTTGGCGAAATAACGGAAAACTACGTTAGCGAAAACGTTCCACTTGAAAATACTCAAATATTTTTTCTCTCGCGAAAGACAGCCCGTCCCCCAAGTGGGGAGAGAGGGGGGACGCAAAGTTGTGGAAAATACGAGTAAATATATCGCGTAGCCAAAAACGTTTCGAATTATAACAACAACAACAACACCATAAATAACTATAATAGCGATGAAATATCGTAAAAAAAGATACTCGAGCGGTAATAGTGAGACAGGACAGTGTGGTGGGATCTCTTGTATGGAATTGCAATCGATCGAAGCGTAGCGCGCGAGTTACGGTCCGCGGGCACTTGTGCGAATTTTCGCCTCGAAAATGATGTTTCCGAGCTCGAGATTGGTGCTTCGTTCCGCGTGTTCTGCGCACAGTACACATGATTCTTGATGTGAAATGCAAAATGTATAGGCGATTCGTAAATGATGCCGTCTATAGTATAGTAATGATGATATCGATGATTTTGGAACGCATGCCAATTAAAAAGAGATTGAATAATCTTTGAAGCAGATAGTAGTGCTCTTTCACCGCAACCAGTAAATATCTTCATTCTCGTCGATTTGGTTAGTTTGATATAACTGCACAAGAGTCCTCGGTTATTTTATTAGAACGAACCGACCGCTACATCGCGTACGATCCAAGTCTGCCGCGATGTATCGACTGTCAGTGGAGGAATAATAAAGTAGCGCAGAGTGCCCTTAAAAAAATCAAAAGAACGCACATCGACGCGTTTCTACGATCGCGTGATAACAAGTGCCACATATACATATAGCGGTAGCGTGATATCGATTATCTCGATCTCTCAAGCAATTCTAATGATTTCAAAAGGGCAGAGAGCTAAGAGAATCAAAGTCCCTTACCTTGCGAAGTTCCCGCTAGGTCTGGCGTCTGCAAGCCGGTGTGGCCCAAACCTGGAAATTTCACTATCGTCATACGTAGCAACGGTAGTGGCGAGCGCGAGCGCGGGAACTCGACAACGGCCTGTACGCAATTTCGCAATTACGGGAGGAGCCGACGGTGAAAGCTGATCGAGAAAGCTCAATGAAAACTAAGGAAACGTCGGAGCGTGGGAGATGAGAGTGAAATTGGTCAGTGCGTACAGGTCCGCCGCGAAAGGTCGGCCTCTCCGCGTACCTGGCATCGGCGCGTGATCGGTGAGTGCCGCCATGCTGAAGTTGAAGCTGCCAGGCGTCGTGTTGAAGAGCTTGCTCTCCGACAAGAAGTTCTGCGTGGACGTGTGCTCCGGCTCCGGCTCGTGCTCGTTGCTACTCGCCGAGGCAGGCGGTCGGTCCGATGCCGCGGCCCCCGAGTCGGACGAGTCCTCGTTGTTGCCGGCGTTGCCGGTGTTACCGCCGGTCAGCTCCAACGGCTCGCACTTTATATTGTCCTCGACGAGGCTGTTTTCGTCGTGTACACCGTTACCCTCGACCTTGGTCGACAGGTGATTGTTCTTGACCATCGAGAAGTCCGTGGGCGTGGCGTCGTTGTTGTTGAGTGGCGGCGACGGCACCCTCGGTCTCTTGGCCGACTCGTCGTGCGGGTCCGGGGTGCGTCTCTCGTTCCGACGTATTTGCGCCCGGCGCAGTAGCTGCTGCACCGTCGTCGGCGTGGGGGTCACCGGTGTAGGTGGCGAGCCGCCGCGAGGGAAAGTCTCCTCCGACTTTTCGTGGAACGGCAAGTGATTGCCGCCGCCGGCCGCCAGCGCGCGAACATGCGACAGCTGGAAACGAGACAACGGGAAGCGGTGCTTAGCTATTAGTCATAACGGTTATTATTCGTCACGCCGGCATTCAATTCGGCACTTTTGAGAGCCCACGCGATAGCGTTCGATGTAGCCGAAACACGAATCCCGAGAATGTCACGTATCGTACCAGTCACGTTTTATCTTTGTTTGCTTGACCTATGACAATTGCCGATTGGAATCAAGACAGACGCGCGCGCGAGTTTTCTCTCTCTCTCTCTCTCTCTCTCTCTCTCTCTCTCTCTCTCTCTCTCATCCATCCATTTATCCACCCATCTCTATCTCTCTATGGAGATATAGAGATAACCAATGTATACGCGTCGCGGTGCGCTCCAATTCCATCTCGAATACACACCTCGTCTCTCTCGGTCTGGTCGGCCTGTTGCGTGAGACCAGACACCCTCAGGACCTCTGCGGTCTTCAGAAAACTACTGAGAGAACGCTGGTGCACGTTCACCTCGCCGTGATAAATAAACTCCACCAAGGCGTGTAAGTCACTGAACGCTACATCCTGGAGCACTATCACTGGGTGCTTGCACGGTGTGCTCTGAAACAGTGCAATGTGTCGCGCGCAATAGTGAGTGATGCTGGGCAAACTCTTGCAGCAAACTCTCGTCACGGCCCGCCTCAATCGCGAAAACTATTCCTTAACGCACTCTTTTGCGCTTATCGATATTTCTCTCTCAGCTCCACTCTACCGGGACTCGAAATTCTTCCTCGCTTTCACGTGAAATCATTAAGTCTGTGCAAATGTTGATCATTTTATCGACCGAGATCGTGTTACCCTAAACGCACGGTAATGATAGAAATCTTATTACTCTGGCGCAAATTTCAAACGTAACCAAAAGTGTAAATCGTGGCGGCCGGGCGTTTCTAACGTTTCTCGTTAATGGCGAGAGGGTGGAAGGGAGGCGAGTCTTACCTTGAGCAATTCTCGAAAGTACGGACTACAGGCGGAGAGAACGACGCGATGCGCTTTCAGGCTTTTGCCGTCGCAGGCCAGCGTCACGTCCACAAAGTCCTCATCGTCCCGCAAATTTTCAAATGCCGAGGTTATGCTGCTCTGGTAATTGTTCCATCGCAGACAAAAGTGTTGTGTATCTACCATCGTTGTGTCTATTCACCTGCAATGAGAAATAACGTCCGCTGCCATTGATTAGACGTGAAAACTCTTAAAACTTTCTTAATATCTAAAATGTTTTCTCCTAACGCGATAAAGTGCCGCAAACGGCGTTTAAGCTTACGTCAGAAAAGCGCGAGTGTAATTAAAAGAATTTCGGCTACGATCTACCTAGTGCACGGCGCAACCACGACCTGATAAGCTTGCAGACTGATAATTTTAGATAAGCCCTATTTCGACATTCGAAAACACAATTGCAACATGTGCACACACATACACACGATATTAAAAATTCGATATTAAAAATTGCAATTAGGCATATCGACAAATTCGTTATCGATCAAAGACTAATTGCCCGAGATAGGAAATATGTTGAGAAAGCAAGTTTAACAAAGAGAACACACACACACACATACAGTGTGGATGTTTGACATGAAATATTTCACGATTATACATTATATAAATCTAATTAGTTGGCGTGATCTCTTTATCTCAGTGACAAGGCCAAGTGCTTTATATTGAAATTTTCGGTTATCTATACGTAATTTGAAACAACGACAAAAGTAGCTTCTATTAACGATCGATCTCCCAATAGCGACTAACTTCTAATTCATTAAAATTAAAGCTACAAGTTTATCATGTAACATTGAGAGACGCGTCGAATTCTTGTAAAAGAGACGATTAAAATTGTGCACAGATAAAAAGCTAATTATACAAAAAGCACTAAAAGCGTCGAAAAATGTATGACGCAAAGATAAGAATGGAAATGTTTGCGTGCTTCTTTGTACCCGAGATGTATAATATTTAAACAAGTGCGTTAACACCTACAGTTAACGAGCTAAAAACCAAGTGAGAGTTATCCGTTAGACAGCGATAAATTCAAAATATTGGCGAGTCTCGCCAGAAAAAAAAAGTGAGAAAATAAATAAACTCGCTGCAATACAGGATAGAGAGAGAGAGAGAGAGAGAGAGAGAGAGAGAGAGAGAGAAAGGGAGAGAGAGAAAGACAACCTCTCTCGTTTATTTATCTAATTGCGCACAAGGCGAGCGCTACATGGTCGATTACGGGAAAATAAAATGCAAAAAAAGAAGACACTCTGTCGTTGGCTATTTCGCCATACGGGAAAATTAGGTCATCGAGACGAAGCCAATAGGGTACGTTGATGAAATAATTCTCTGCTACTTATAAAAGCAGGATCACTAAATATGCCCTGATAGTGTTATCTTAACGAAATGATAAAAAAAAAGATCTTAAAACAAATTTGTGAAGCTTCTTGCATAAATATGACAGCGCGCTAGAAAAGAATTGTCAAGCCGTTTATTCAACGAAGCGGCAAGATGTTTGCGAATTTTTTGTACGAAACTGATTAGCCAAATTGAGAAAGAACAATGTCGCGTGCTACCGTCGTTGCGTTCAAGTTTTTTGAACAAACGGCGAAGGCTACACGATTCAAAAATTCATTCATACCGGAATACATATGATGCGTGATGTCGATAACGCAAGTTCCGCCGATTTAAACATGTTGCCGATTGTCGTATCTTGGGCTATTGCGTAACAGTAAAGCAAAAAAAGAAATAAACAGGAAAGAGTGGACACAGAGGAACGCTTGTATCTCCTTCTCTCGACTCTCTAACCACGCCAATACAGAAATTATTTTGCGAGCTGTTAAAGCTGCTATCGCGCCCTGCTAAATTTACGTGTGACGAATCCGAGAGATAAGTTTGCCACTGAACATTGTTTGATAACAGACAAGAAGGACAGGCCTTTTTGTGCTCTCGGCTTTCTGGCACACCGAAAAAATTACAATTTTTGAGCTGTCGTTACTCGTACGTTTTATTGTCGGTAATACGTGTACAAGTGATTAAGTGTATAAGTGAGAGAGAGAGAGAGAGAGAGAGAGAGAAAGAGAGAATGTGTGTGTGTGTATGTAACACCGTTAATATTTACACAACTTCATGCAGAAGATGATCGAAAAAGCGAATAATCGCGCGCACGATTGAGATTACACGAGCGAACAATTCGGTAGCGAATTTTTCGAAAGAGAGAGAGAGAGTCGCATGTCACATATTACATCATAGCACACTCTGGGAAACACCGACGCCGCATGCCGCACCAACCACACTCGCACATTCACGCGCGATCGTTTCGCCCGTTCGATCCATCGATCGATCAGTCGATCGCGATCCGGTCTATCCTCGATACGATACGATACCTTTTCGCACGAGGTCAACAGCTTGATACGGTTTCTAAGGCACGCTCAGCCGGCAACGCGAACGGGAATCACAGCTTGCCAAGTGCGGACGCGTTATCGCGAGGGAACACCTATCGGCCGTCATGCCGCGTAAGCTAATGACCGAAACAATGAACCGAACACGACGATGAGACGACGCTGCGTGAGTTTATCTCCGCGCGGCACGCCACAGCGCGAAAAAAAGGCCGAGCAAGCTTGGCACTCGCGGCGAAGAGGCCACCCACATTCGGACAGCGAGCGAGCGCGCGCGCACGCGGCGTGCACGCGAGAGGGAAACAGAGAAAGAGAGACAGAAAGAGAGATCTACGCGATCACAAACCGAACGACCCTGCGTGACACCTGTCAAGCTGCGCGCGTAACAGCGCGCGCGCGAAATCGAAAGAAGCGCGGAACGGGACTGCGATTCGCGATCGTTTGCGCGAGCGGACGAGAATGCGAGGACATCGGTAAATACACTTCAAATAAATACTAAACGATTTTGTCGTGTGTTCCTTCCTTCCTGCGCGTGGATCATCCTCCTACCCCTCCGCTCCCCCCCATCGCGCGCACCAACCACCACCACCACTTCCTCCACGCCGTCGCCGCCGCCCGAATCGTCGGCCACACCGAAAGTGATCGCGATCAAACGAGGATGGCGAGCGTGAGCAAAGGACAGAGGAAGATGGATTGAAACAGAGGCGGGACGAGAACAGAAGAGAGAGAGAGAAAGAGAGACAGAATCAAACGTTTCGCGCGCGCGATATCCACGACTGGTCCGAATTGTGCTACGATTAGGAGGATGATGACGTTACGGACGATCAACGTCGAGTTGGACGAGTCACGTGTCACACAGTGTAGAAAAGAATTCGCGTGACTAGACTAAAATAAACGATTGCTCCCAAAGAACTGACGAGGCACCGGCGCCGCCGACGGCGGCGGCGACGACGACAACGACGACGACGACGACGACGACGACGACGACGACGGCGGCGACGACGACGACAACGACGATGACGACGACGACGACGACGGCGACGACGATGACGACGACGACGACGATGACGACGACGACGACGACGACGATGACGACGACGACGACGACGGTGACGACGACGACGACGACGACGACGACGACGGCGACGGCGACGACGACGACGACGGCGACGACGACGACGACGACGGCGACGACGACGACGACGGTGAAGAAGAAGACATGAACGATGCGTGCGGAATCTTCTGCACCTTGACTGGGGGCGCCGCGAGCAGTCACCGCAGCAGGCTCCTTCCCCGTCGCATGCCGTGTGCGAGCGAAGCAACCAACCCCTAAAACGTCACGTCACGACTGTGCGGCTCCGGCGTGGAGGAGGCGCCGCGCCTCCCCGCCCGTCGCGCAGTCGGTACGTCGCGAGGCTGCACGAAAACGTACGAAAAGCGACCGCCGCTACGAGAACGACGCGCGAGAGAACGGAAATAGAGGAAGAAATAACGTAGGGTATAATGAGATGCGGAGAGAAGGGTAAGCGCGAAAGAGAGAAAGACAAACGACGGGCGTATCGCACGGATCGAGAGAGAGAGAGAGAGAGAGAGAGAGAGAGAGAGAGAGAGAGAGAGAGAGAGAGAA